CTATTTTGCACATCCCTTTCAAGATTTCAAGATTTTCTAAGGTTTATTGACATATCATATACACAACTACGGTGTAGTTATGCAATGAATGAAAAACGTTGTGTATACCTCCAGCAATGTTAACTATGTTGAAGCACTTATTTTTAACTGATATTATACATATGCATTATACTCTTATATAAGATGTATGTAGATAGTATAAGAAATGTGCAGAATACGACAGTTTAATGGTGGAGGTACACACATATTGATAGATGTCTTGTAATGCACTGTTGAGGAACCTGCGACCAAAGTTTTTCATCTCCAGCCTTGTCAGGTATTGAACATTCAATAAATAAAGAACACAGAATTATTAAATATAAAACACAGAATTTGTGTGATTATACTAAATGATTTACAAATAAACACAACTGCATATTTACAACTGTTACACATGCTGATGTAACGCAAATGTTTCCAACTTGGGATCAATAAAGTATATCTTATCTTAAGATGATCGATGGCTACTGCCATATTTTCAAAATGTGCCTCTGAACCTTGACAAGTGCATGTTTCAGGCTTATCAATTAACAACAGGAGGGGTCACAGACATAAGACCAGCTGTTAAATAAAGCTCTTCTGAGCTTAGCTGGCATGTGGGTAATGCTACCCATTATGGGCACAAGCAATTTTCACCCATTTATTAATTATATGTTTTACATTTGAGTGTTTCCTATCCCCTAAACCTCCAGGGATGTACACAATTTAATACTGGCCACTTCTTATTATGGGAAATACGAAAACGTCTTTTAAAACTACAACTTCCAGTAGAGACGTGCCATAGAACATGTTGCGAACGGTTGCGAAACACAATAGCCAGCATGTGTAGTTCTGGGGACGGGGTGGACCCGTTCAAATCCAGTTTTGGACAGTCTGCCGTGGTTCCATCCCATTTCAAGTACTGTTCGACGCTCGGCACACTCTCCAATCACAGAGCTTGAGGACTATCACAGGGTTTGTCAAGCGAAGCGGAGAGAATACTTACTTCCGGGTGTAATATTCTGTAAAGCAAATGAGCTGCTCCGACCCTCGGTCCTGACGGAATCCAACTTGTGTTTATTAATCAAACAAATAAATAAACACAAGGATAATTATGTGTTATTGTTGAGTAAATGGAGAATTGCACAGGGGAAAATAACGTATCTATGCCACAATTTTAGATGCGGATTTTGTTAATACAAAATATAAATATATGCTAATACGTTTGCGCCAACACTATACATTGACGGGGAAGGGGGTAGCAATAAAGATAACACCATTAAACAGTTACACAACATAACAGAAATAATATCGATAGCAGCATCCCTAGCAACCACCTTGGTGACAATGAAAACGTTGTATAGACACAATTTCCTGAAGTAATCTTCGTAATAATTAGCAAACTAAAGATCATGTACACCCACTGCACACATAATCTGAAATAACAACTCATATTTCTCACATCAAATGACTTCAAAACGCATTTTAATGGCCAAACTAACTTTAAAATAGGCATTTTACACCGAGAATAAAACGAAGTTCGGCCATGTTTTTTTTTTCTGCAGGGAGAAATGTGAAGATCACGTGACATAGACGCCTACCATTGGAATGAATGGTGAAAAAAAACGTAGATATTTTACAATTTCAGAGGCGTTTTTGTAGAAATACTACGTCCTACATTGTAGACCAACGTAGTTATTACACGTTTTTTTGTGAGACTGGGTTGGTATAGGCGCAGCCCTCTAAGGTTCGGGCCCCACTGGTTCCGCGAATAGCTGAAGAAAAGTTGTTGGAGTGGATTGTAAAACCTACTTCCTATTTATACGGAAGTGAGCCTGGAGGTGGGGCTCACGTCATAGATGGGCGTGGAATAAATCTGTCAATGCTGCACACGTGCAGTGGGGATTACCCTATGGGATTACCCAATAGCGATAGTTTTAGAGGGCTGCGCCTATACTCATAGAAACTGGGTTACATTACGTAACCCCAGTTTTGCCATCACTGGATTATCCGTAAATCATACAAACAAAACCAAAACGTTGATTTATCTGTTTTCCCGTTTTGGTTTAAAAACTGAATAACGTCGGTTTTTTTGGTTTTCCGTTTTTCCGAAAAACCATAAAAACGACACCGTTTTTTTTTAAACGTTGTTAATATGTTTTGGATGCATATTGTTATATTATTTGTTCAGGCTGTTACATACAATTAGCCTCTGTTGCTACCTGCTGGTGAGTAAATATTAAAATCAGTTAAAATTGACAACCGGTCCGCGATTTTGTGTTATGTTCACATTTCGCACCCTTTGGTAATGTTCGGGTCAAATTGACCCGGGACATATTTCAGTGTTTAAAAAAATACAGAATTCAACATGCACAATTCCTTATATATATTGTCTTTAACTCATTCCCCAACAATATAAATGAAATATATGATTAGTTTTTGAAAATACTCTTTGCTAGATCAAATTTAACAATGGAAGTTTCCATCGTTTTTTGTGATAAAAATGTAATTTATGTTAAAAAATGTAAATGAAACATTTTTTCCTTAATGTTTATTATTTTTAATCTGTCATATAATAATGAAAGCCCTGAAGGAAATAAAGCAATTTAGCAGCAATTGGAACACAAGAACCACACAGCCAAAAGTATTTGTCTGTGAAATATAGAGAGAATTAAACATCCATATAAATTACATAGAACAGATATAAACACAAAGCAAATAAAAACAATTAACAGTCACTATTCATAAAATACAGTATATCCGAAAAATATATTGATGAAGTGACGCTGCAGAACATCATGTGAGTCAATGGGCAAGTCCGTTTAGGAAACACATGATGTACAGAACTTCTTCGTGTGTATAGCACAGATGTACTTGTTGCAGTTGCTGCATGTAGTCTGTGTCTTTGAGTCCTTTGAGGGTCCACAGACCTCACAGCTGGCTGTGGGGGTCTTTCAGAAGCTGACTGTGGGGGTCTTCTTGCGGCTGGCTGTGGGGGTCTTCCAGCAGCTGGCTCTGAGTCAAGTTCATCTTCCAATTTGCTGTCAAATTCTGAGTTTACCTCCACATTATCCTCATCTTCAGAAATGTCTTCCTGTTCCACTTCACCGTGTTCTTCTAATGCTTTCCACTCACTCTCATCCATTATTAGCTCCAAGGCTCTGAGCAGAATATCTTTTGGCCATTTTGTTGGTAGATAATTGTAGTTATGCACTATACACTGTTACTACACTGAGGTTATGTCTCTGTTTAGTCCCTCCTCCGGCATGCAGGTGCGAGGGGGGACAGTGCGAGAAAATGTAAAATGTTTATACATTTCTGGAAGATCTAAAATGTTTATAATGTAGGATAGTTTTGTGTACACACTACAAAGGGTAAAGATCAAGGGAAAACAGGATCAAAAAGCTTCTCTATGCATACAATTGTGTGTGTGTGTGTGTGTGTGTGTGTGTGTGTGTGTGTGTGTGTGTGTGTGTGTGTGTGTGTGTGTGTGTGTGTGTGTGTGTGTGTGTGTGTGTGTGTGTGTGTGTGTGTGTGTCTTTAGTTTGTGTGTTTGTGTGTTTTTCTCTGTCTGTCTGTCCTGGTATTGTATCCGGGTCAGATTGACCCGAACTCTTATGAAGGACATAAATGCGGGTGGGCATTTTTTCATAAGTGGAAAAAAATAAAAACAATTCCACATGTCCTTCACAATAAGTAAGCCCCGGCCATTGAGTTTCAGGTTGAACGAAAATATCCTTATATTTTTTTTTATTCATTGACAATGGAAATCGGGTCAATTTGACCCGAACACCACACAAGGGTTAATGTATCTGCCGGTCCTTGGCACAATAAAGGTTGGGAACCCCTGATTTAACAGACATTACAGATATTCTGTGTGTAATACTTATTTTGTCAACATGTGGCAGAATTGAACTATATCCCATGTTGGTGATTTTGATTTCTCCAAGCTTTCTTCTTTATGTGTTTTCACGGTTTTTCACATATTAATTAAAAAGGACTTGGCAAACCTTTTCTTTCCTTGTTCTTCAGTCATACAAAAAGTACAGAAATCCACCAGAAGGTTTTTGTTAACTTGCCTCTCAGGGCTATGTAACTAATTGTTTATGAGAGTATTTTTAAACTGTGGCAATGCTACTTTTATTTCAGTAAAATATCCCAACAGTTTCTAGCTCATTAACAACATACAGAAGAGGATTTTAAGTGCCTAATTTAGCTGAATGTAAGCATATGTTTGAGTCTCGGGACACTTTGTTTCAAATGTTCCCTTCTGATTATTTGATCAACATCGCGATTGTGCTCTTGTTGCTGGGAAGCCAAAGCAGGCTGTGACACAGAGCCCATTATTCACTGCATGACAGAAAACAGACTGCTGTGGAGAAGACGATGGGCTTTGTTGTAGACCTCTCCATGGTTGCCAATATCTTTTAAGTTTTACATTCTTAAATATGAACACAGTGCATCAATGCAGGAAAATACGGACTATATTTCAGAGCCTTTAAAGCATAGATACATTGATATTTCTTCACAATAAGCAGAAATCTGTGTAAAATCAAAAGGTGGAGCTTCACGGTCTGATTTCAGCTCATAAAAACCAAAATAAATAACTGAATTATGCAGATTCAGGATCTCATAATTTGAACCCAGTATGAAAAGGTCCATCGCAGTGAAAGAGCTGCAGAATGCTGTCCATTAAGCTACAAGAAACAGATGTATTAATCAAAGAACTAACATGTTCTAACTCTCCAGTGGAAATAATGTGGCAGGAGTTTACAGGCAGTTTCCCCCCCAACAGTAGACGTCCTGTCAGTGACATATCACTTCCTTTTCCTCCCATTCCAGTAGAATAAATCAAACGTTGACAGAGTGAATTCAAGCGAGATAATAGATTTTGTTCAGTGCTCAGAGGTCGTTCTTTCCTCCGTTCAATTATTAATAGACAGAAAATAAAACATGAATATGGACAGTATACCAGAAAAATATATGGGAAATATGTACGGTCCAATACTTTAATTTGATCAACAGTCAGAAGAGTGCACATTATTCATTATAACAGCTGCATGGTTCTGTTCATCAGGAAGATACAATGGGTTGATATGTGCAGTACAGAGCAGAAAGCTACGCTCATAGAGAAGCAGCGTTAGGGTGTGAACAGTTTGTGTTGTTTGACAAAATAATCTCAATCCAAGGTTTCTCTTCTCTCTTTGTCTTAAATTTTCATCATCACAACCTCCAAAAATGCTTGGAGACCACTTCGTTTTTAAGTTCCTGAAGATGCTGTTGATATATATACAAAGTTGACCTTGAATTCAAATCGTTTTGTCAGTCCAAAAGATGCTTTGATAATACGTGCATCCTGTTTATTTTACAGCATATCTTAAAAAGGTACTTCTGCCAGACATTTATGACTGTTCTACAGAAGCTGCTGCTAATAAAGACCTTTCATTTTGAAAAAGATAAACAATCCTCCGTTCAGCTGCACCACCATCTTTCTGGCGCCAACGTGGCGTTTTGAATTCCACAAGATTAAAGTGTTGTTTTTAGAAATCCACTTCCGTCCGAATCCATCATTATAAATTAAATTTAAATGTAGCCTCATGTGGATAATCAACAATTTTCTCATCACCACCACACCATCATTTTTAGCATTTCCAGAAGCAAATGTCCAACTTCATGAGTCATCAGTTTTACACTTATTTAAAATGCAGAATTTCAATAAAGCTTTAGGGAAAGTCAAAATGGTTTAAAAAAAAAAAAAAACATGTAATCAGGCAGCAGCTCCACAGATCTGTCCTCTGCTTTCATCTGTTCCAGTGTGAAAGCTCGTTGGCTCTGTTCCCGAAAAAATTCTTTCCGCTGGATTACGCAACAAAAGCAGCAGGAAGTAGAGATAATGAAATCATCTGATGAAAGAGGCAATAGAGCATAGCGCCAGTGGCCACGACCATGAGTCACTGAATCAGTTTTAATTATTTACCAACATCCTACTGACATTACTAGATGAGTCCTCGGTGTCCACAAACAGTCCTTCAACGTATACAGTAAAAGCAGCGCTGATGTTATTTGATTATATGACAGAGGGCTGGTTTTTGTGCCACAAGACAGTCGCATAAGCGATCCATCCCATACGCAACAGTCCCACAGAGATACATATTAGCTGGTGTTTTCAATGGTTGCTTTGTTTCTATACGTCTTGCCAAAGAAAAGTATCCATGCCAATTAGCATTAGCAATCAATCCTCAACCAATCCGGCAAAATGTCTGCAATGTCTCTTTGGCAAAGACAATGAAGCAATCAGCAAAATAGTTGGGATGTGATTAGAATGCTAGACTTCATTTGACCTTCATAACGGGCTGCACAGTATTGGAAAATGTTGACATTTCTGCAATATCATAAAGAAAAAATAGAGGACTTTTTACACCGTTTTTGTGCATCATCCTTTTTTAAGCCAAAGTATTTCCATACTATACCAAAGATGCATTTGTCTTTGACCTGTTCTTCAATTATATTTGGGGTTGTGGTAAGAGACTAGCGGGGCCCACTTTGGTTGTTTGATAAAGGGAACAAATATTAATGTGAGCGTGCATGTCACTCAATATTAAGAGTAAATTATGTTATATCAAACAGACTTCTCCTGTTGTCCAGTCATTGAAATGTTTTCCTTTAATTTGACCTAAAAACATATTTTAGCATGACGTGTTGGAGTTAATTTGCTTTACTTACTTTATTTTATGTGAATATCGCACATGCGCTGGATGCTGAAATATTGTACAGCCCTATTTTGATATTTACTAGCTTCTTTGTTGCATGGTTACATTTATTTAAGATAAGGCAGTGCAACATTATAATCAACCTACTATCATATATTCAGTGTATAAGATGTGTTCAGTAATAAATAACTCGGAAGTACATTTCGTTACTTGAGACATATCACGATTCAAATATAAAATGTTGTACCTTAACACAGACATTTTCCAGCACACCAGCTTTGTGATGCTACAATGCTTCCAGTTTACCCGGTCATAGTTCAGTCTTGACCCTGTGCATCAGATCTTTCTGGTCCACCATGTCCGTCTGTCTGTTCCAGCGGTGGTAGGCCAGCAGGGCGATGTTTTTGGCCGCCACTGAGCTCATCTCCATGGCGCTACCCGGCCAACTCGATGCCATTGAGGTAGTAGAGATTTGGGTGGAGCTCCACAGGGGGGAGTCCCTGACTGCTGCCGTAACAAGGGTAGGCCTGCCATTCGGTCACCTGCACCGAATAGTACGACCTGAGGTGGAGGAGTACAAGTAAAGATGTTAAAGCTCACCTATTATGCTATATATGAACAATATATTATAGGGCCATATCTATACAAAGCATGTCTCTGAAGTGTTTTGCTCAAAATATCAAACAGATCACCCTTTGTAGCCATACCCCTCTATTTCAGCCCTGTAACTAAAGTTCTGATTCTGGGTCAGTAGCCACGCCCCCTTTGGAGTGCACATGCAGAAGAGCTGCACAGAGAAACAGATACTCAGGTAAATGCTGCCATGATTAAACGCCATATCATGTTCCAAACCACATCAAGGATTATTTCTGAAACACTATGGAGCTCAAATAATTTTTCTCTTGCTGGTTCACCACAAGGTGAGTACCTTTTTATATATATTTTTCTTTTACACATACTCTCACTAGTACACAGCGTTAGCTCTGAGTGTTAGCGATACTTGCTTATGTAAACAAAGACCATATTACGTCTATTAGGTCGCGCATTGTTTCTGATACAGCAACGTTTCTGATAGTGCCGTGGATGTAAAGCCAGCCCACATTTCCGATATTACGTCATATTGGCAGTAAATCAGGATCAGCTCCGTTGTACCCCCGTTTTTAGAGATTTGGGTACGGTGGAAAAGAGAAAGGGTTTTATTTTCTGACACTTTGTGAGTCTCCTTACACAACGGGGACACATTTATGTATGAAAGACATCAAAAAGTGCATTTTGCATAATAGGGGACCTTTAATGCCAACCTCAATGACCGTAGGATAGGAACCAATAAAATGATGTAATAAAGTTGGTTACAGCTCGAGTTAATACGATTATTTCTCACCAGGAGGGAAAGTGTCTGACCTGAACAATGTTTTCAGCTGAGCCTTCACCAGAGGTTGTGGAGAAAACACTTTATAGACTCCGGCCTCCTGTGGCTGTTTACGCCTGAAGCCCGTGGAGATGTTGACCGGACAAACACTCGCCACGCTGTTGAAAAACACATCCAGCGTCTCGGTTGTCAAGACGCTGGCGAAGGGGAAGAGGCGAGGGTCCGGGAAACCAAAGAAAGAGGTATTAAGGTAACCATGGACGATGGTTGCTACAGTGCTGTGGTAGTTACCAGGGAGCTCGTCGAAGGGAGGGGTGAAACCCTGGAACTGGACTCCGGATCTGACGCTGGCCTGCAGTGGAGTCGCTAACACCACGATGTCGTACAGCTCCGACTTCGTCTCTGACGCTGTGGTGAAGCTCAGCTGGTACTGAGGAGCCTCTCCTGTTGGGAAATACACACATTAACACTCTACTGATGATTTGAATACTAATTCATCAGTGGTATCTACTGGAAAATATAGCGATAAAAACCTCCGGCCAATATCTGAGCCAAAAACAAGAGTTTAGATACTGCAATAATGAATATTAATTTCTATTGAAAGGACCAAAGTTACGTCTGGAAATTTGAAAGAGCGAGCTATAAGTGTTAAGTATATGTGTAAGTATTAGGGCTGATTAGATTCAGCCCCTAGTTTTGCTGATATAGGCTTAGTTTGTCGGGGGACATCTTACTTCTTCCTTCTCTCTGTCTATACCTGTGTACTCTCATGTTCCGATTAACCCAGCTTCCCCAAATGTCTTTCTTTTTGGTATCTATATACGCTGGGATCCGGAGTCATGGATGATCCTGCGCTCCTCTGTCCTGCATCGCGAGCCCTGGATCTTGAGTCGTGGCTGTGGTCCTGGATCATAAGTCCTGGATGGATATCCTCGTGGATTCATCTTCCTATTATACACACATGCATTTCCAAACATTTGGACTACCTATGTTGCAAATGTATTATCTTTTCAATTTACACACGGCATCTATTGCACGTCTGTCCGTCCTGGGAGAGGGATCCCTCCTCTGTTGCTCTCCCTGAGGTTTCTCCCATTTTTCCCTTTAAACTGTGGGTTTTCTCTGGAAGTTTTTCCTTGTACGATGTGAGGGTCTAAGGACAGAGGGTGTCGTATTGTCATACTGATATTCTGTACAAACTGTGAAGTCCACTGAGACATGTAATAATTAGGGCTATCAGTCGATTAAAATAGTTAATCGCGATTAATCGCAAATTAATCGCACATTTTTGATCTGTTCTAAATGTACCTTAGAGGAATATTTTTCAAGTTTTTAATACTCTTATCAACATATGAGTGGACAAATATGCTTTATGCTAATGTTTATTATCATTTGAACAATGACAAATATTCTCATGAATATTAAACACAACAACTTCTGAACATTACAAATATTCACCTCAATTCAACCTGGAACCTCTCTCGTGTGTGTGTGTGTGTGTGTGTGTGTGTGTGTGTGTGTGTGTGTGTGTGTGTGTGTGTGTGTGTGTGTGTGTGTGTGTGTGTGTGTGTGTGTGTGTGTGTGGTGTGTGTGTGTGTGTGTGTGTGTGTGTGTGTGTGTGTGTGTGTGTGTGTGTGTGTGTGGTGTGTGTGTGTGTGTGTGTGTGTGTGTGTGTGATGGATCGTTGGAGCTATGTGCAACTCAAGGCATATGCTCGAACGGGAGCTGCCTGGACGCTGCAATCATGTTGCGCACTATCCGTGCTGAGTGTGCTGACTGTTCGTGCAATGTCCCACTGTCTGGCTTCCTGCATAAAGTCAAGTGCTCGGCGCAGTTGTGGCGAAATGTCGCTCCTCTGTTTTCATTTAAACAGCTCCTTAGATCCGTTAGCGCAGCTAGCTAGCACCAGATGCTAACAACAACAATGCACGTAAGGTCTCTCTCTCGCTCGCTCGGGCCACACATACACACACCCTCCCGGTCCTCCCAACAGCCAGTCGGTGCCTGCCGGTGAGCGTGGAAGTGTGGTCTGCCACAAGCGGGCGGCAGGAGCGGGGCTGTCACCATCAGCTTGTAGATGGTATTTTAAACTCGATGCGCTCTGAAACTACGGGGCGGCCGAGGAAAAAAAATACACATGCGTTAATCGCATTAAAATAATTTGTGGCGTTATTTTTTTTATGCGTTAACGCGTTATGAACGCGTTAGTAACACGTTAATAACGCGTTAACTTGACAGCCCTAGTAATAATGTAACATTTGTGATATTGGGCTATATAAATAAACATTGATTGATTGATTGATATAAGCGATATATATAAATTCAGATTCTGTAGATGGTTTTCAAAATAAAATATTTTTGTGCTTTCTTTTCAATATGTAAGATTTCTACATTAGGTATATAGTAGTTCAGTTTCAACATCAGATGTTGTCATGGAGAAACCTTTGCGCCGGATGTCTTTCGAGATCTTCACAACACTATGTTAGAACTTATTTAACTTTCCCAAAAATTCAAAAGAGTTCCAATTGAATAGAGTTTACTGAAGATTCAACAAAGTACAGCAAACACGAGTCAGTTCATGAAGTGACTACCTTTAATGTCTGTGTGTATGTAGCCTACTTCTCTTTCATCCCAGTAATAGTCTAATTAGTGGAGTATCGGATGATCTCAGGTACTAGGGGAGTCTCAGGCTCTCCTTTTTTTGATCTTGACTTTCTCCATTACGTAAGACACCATTATTTCTTTCACCCTCCCTCAATCATATTTGTTTGACATGTCAATTTAGATCATTTTTATTGAAGTTTCGGCCTGAATAATATTTTTAATGTCGTTTTGACATTCTGGCCTAGGTCATTTTTAATGGTGTTTTGACCATGCTGTCTTTATCTGCGTTGAGTTTCCAAAGATATATTTTGGAAACACAATGAAGGAACATAGCATCTAGCACGAGTGTGAAGTTTCTGCTTCGCAAAAGCATAATATTCTGCTTAAAGCCAGTATCCAGTAATCCTTATTACTTGTTTAATTTAAGAGATTTTCCAGGCACAATTCTCTCAAATTCATGGATCGAAGATGCATAGTTTCAGACAAGGTTAATAATTAAAATGCTGTATTGAAAAAACAACAACAGGAAACACGTTTAAAAATCTTGGAAAACTGAATTAAATGAATCTGAATCTTGGTACTCTCAGGGTTGAAGTACCTGAGTAGAGGGGTGAGATGGAGTTGACTTGTGCCTGCAGAAGGTTAGCGTTGGCCATCTTTAGCAGGCCAGAACACACCAGCTTGTTGCCTCCTTCCACCGCCCACAGGTTGTTCTGGGCACCAGCCAGAGACACAGCGCCTTTAACACACACACATATTACACACATGCTCACCCACTAACACAGACAATGCCAAGTGCTATAAACCAATTATCAGCTCCCCACACATTTTCCTGTTCTCTCGCTCGACCAGGCCACCCTTTCCTCTCACCTTCCTTCTCTTTCTATTCTCAACTCCAATGTCTTTTCTTTTTGTCCTTTTCTCTCTTCTGACCTACATCAGTCCTAATTTCTGCAGCCTTCCGGCCTGTCCACACAGTGGCGTTGGAAGAAGCTGCCCATTCACTTTGAATGGGGTGACGTCACTTTTCGCCGAACTGTATTGTGGGATGCAGAGCGGAGCTTTCCTGGCGTTTCAGGCTGCAAAAGTTGAGCAATGTTCAACTTTTGAAGCTTCTGAAGCTTTCGGTGGAAGCGTCAGCCAGTACAAGCTCTAGACAATCAAACCGCTGCTTGTGTGTCAGGGGCGGGAGATTCATGTGATTGGTTGTTGGTCGAGCTTCAGACACGCCCGCCGGCAAGCTTTTTCCAAAGCCGCTGTGTGGACGGGCCGTTCCTCTTCCCTGTCTCTCTCACCCTCCCTCCTCTTCCCCTGCTGCTCATTTCCTCACACTCATCTGACCTACAAAGGCGGGGATGCTGACGTTCTGTCCGTAGTTGACCCTCATGACGGGCTCGATGACCTCGTCGATGAAGCGCTGCGACACACCCAGCTCCAGCAGCGAATCAGAGAGCGGCCTTCGGGTCATGTTGATGAAGCCACTCCCCCCGAGAGAGTCCAGCAGTTCCTCCACAGAGCTGAAGGCGTAGCCGTGGGCCTGGTACTTGTAGATCCTGTAGGATCCACAACAAATGGTAAGTGATCAATAATAATAATAGACAACTGCTAAATCAGTAGACAGATGTCCTCATTCCTCTCTGTAGTTTTGGATTATCACACCCTTCAATGTGTGCGAAACAAAAAGGCGGAGAGACGGACAGATGGAGGTGCAGTCTGGGTCACAGTTCTTCATTAAGAGAGAGATGCAGAGTGACAAAGTGAAGTAGAGATCATTGAAGTGTGATGTTGGAGAATTGAAATGCAAATCTGTTCCTAGTTTACCCAAAATGACAGAGCTGCAGCAAAATATTTGATCATAACCATATTTTACATTGTTGGGATGTTGTGCATTCATTCTACATGTGAAGTTATTGTTATTTATCATTATCTGTTATATCTATTATTCTGTTAGTGTAAAGCAACAATTAGAGGATTCCTCAGTTACTGAATGTACAGAAAAAATAGTCGGCAACTGTTTTTTTATGATTAATTGAATGTCAAAGAAAAAAGTATTCATGCAAACATGTCAAAACATGCTGTGTTAGCTTTCTCTATTAAAAAGCTTATTTAAAAAAATATTTTTCAGGGGTTTGTGGAAAAAGAACAAGACATTTTAAGACATCACATTGGATTTTGATGATTTTGGAGTGTCATTCTCACATCTCTTTGACAATGTAGACCAAATGATCAATTCATCTAGAAAAGCTTATAATGAATCAATTAGAAAAACTAATAATTAGTCGCAGCCCTAGATAGAGTGAAAACAAGGGTGGCAATGACAACGTTTTAAATAGTTTTACATACTGTACATTTGCTTGGCATCATCAAACAATCAGCTCCATGTTATTCTGGACTCCAGAAACATGTAGCAGAAAATATGAAGCAGTCTAGGCAGATCATTCAGGTGCAGGTTTATGTAAGCTAAAGTGTACCTTCAGACACATGACGGATATCTACAACAACAGGTCTGACCCATGAGCACACATCAGGGTTCAGCTGCACCACAGCTACATCCTGTCAAGCAAGCAGGGCATTAATATGTCAGCCTCACCTCATAAATTTCTCCATAATTTCCTCCACCCACATCTGAAGGCGTATGAAACTGATGCCGTAGCGCCACCACAGCCGGAACAGGTCCAGCAGGTACCAATCGGTCTCCTCCAGGATCATCTCCTCGCCGTTAAACACCGCCGTCTTTCCCGCCACGTTGCGGCGATACTTTAAACCTTGAGGGGTGGAGAGGGGAGTACATAAAGGGCAAAAACAGTAACACACAGGGAGGAATTTAATAAAGAGTGTTTGGAAACAAAGGACATTTCATATTAAATGTCAAAATGTCTCCCTTTGTATTTGATAAACAGGGATTTGACTTATCTACATAAACTGCAGCAAGATGAAAACAGTCATGTGGCTTGTATATCATTTCAAGGCATAACTGGATGACTGTTAACAAGCTGCTTATTAAACTCAAACCATAAACCCTTCTGGTCTAATGGTCGCTCTTCCTGCTCAGTTTACATCTGCTGGAGGCACAAAATAATCTGATCAAGCTAAACACTTATCTTAAGAGTGGGGTAGGTACATTTGAGAAACCGGCTCGAGATACACTTTTTGTTATATTCCATGGAATGCTCTTAACATCCCGATAGCAATGAATATCTTAAGTGCTTTGACAAAAAATCCATACAAAAATGTCATCTGTGGAAGCCGTAAAAAGCACGATGCCTGCCTGTCAGCCTTCCATCTGTGCACAAACTTATCTCGTGCCCTCATTGGTCATGTGCATTCGTGTGTTGGAGGAGGGGCTCTGTAAGAAGCAGATTTCTCCCGGCTGTGTATTTTCAAATTCTAGCGCACTCGAGCTGGTTTCTCCAAAATGACCTACCCCACCTTTAATCACTATTAGAAAGGACTGTCTTCTAAGAAAGTGTTTTTTGACTAGGAAACACATTTTCTTCACACATATTTTAGGTCTTATTTTAGCTCCATTTGACTATTTATTATGCAACAATGCATCCTTTGTTAAAAATAATTAATTAATTAATGCCACAGAGTCACATACACCTCTCGTCCTAAAACTTGTATGCGTGTGTCCTTGTCTGTGGGTCAATGAAGCTGAATGTGTGTGTGTACAAACCTAGCTGTTTGACAAACTCCTGCATATGGAGGTTGAGGGAGTGAATGATGGATCCTCCAGACTCGTAGTCGTTGTAATTGACGGTTACGGTGGCGAGACGACCTCCGACCTCTCCCTTCTCGAACACGTCCACCTGGACCTCAGGGCCAAAGTGCTGCCGCAGGAAATGTGCTGTGGCACTGCCGCCTATCCCCGCCCCGACCACCGCTGGAGGATCAGAGCCAACAGCAGAGAAGAAATGTAGAATTAAAGTGTGTCATACAACTATTGAACTGATAATACCTGAATTAATTGTATGAGTGCATGGCATTAGGCTGTTCAAAGGCATGATAACACATGTGTCTCAAATGAATGATAAAATAAACTAATCACTATTGAGGGTTTTTAGCAACTTTTATTGTTCATGATGTCTTTCTGCTGGAATGAGGAGAGTACATGAGAAACAATAGGGTGTTTGATGCAGTGATGGCGTAATGTTTTATTGGCAAGTAGACAGATCAGCTGGTTCTTCTGAGTATTTCTCCCACTGGAAAATTCCAGTGCAGGGTTTACAAGGACCTTAAAATGATTTGACAGAAATCAGGAGTATTCTCCTTCATGCTGGCGTTACTGATGCAGGGAATAGACTTTCATTGGACCAAATTATTGTTCTTCCTTTTTTTATATTTACTTTTTATTCCTATTTTGCTTAAACAATTAAATAATTATTCATTTAATAATCAATGACAAATAAAACTAATCTTTAACTATTTTGATATTTGTTTACAAAAAAATTCTCTCTAATATGAGAGTCGCTTTTTTCTGTTGTATATCATTGTACAAATAGGATATTTGTATTTAAACTGCTGATGGGACAATACAACTAAATTGTATAAATACTTTAAAGTCCCAATTCATGTTGCAACTGCTCATACATTACAGGTGTTGCCTTTCCTTTAAAGTTATGGCTACGCTTGGTTACTTTGAGACTTGACCTGACTTTAGGTGCAATATAAACTTTTTTCCTAAAACTCTAAGCAGTTGCAAACAAATGTTTACAGTGCAAACCAAGAGGATTTGATGCCATTGCCTATAAAAAAAAACCTTTATTTCCAGCCAAGTAGCACCCTCCATTGATAGGTATGTTTTGGTGAACTGTGATGATGGCAGGTGAAGAAGGGGTTGTGTAATTACGAGAGGAAGTAGGGGGGGGCTTGAACTCATAAGGTTCATCTTTCTCTAACTTAGTCTTAACAGTCTTTAAAGCACATTTTGATGTGATGTATCTTCATGACAGATTTTTATTTTATGTTGACTAAACAAAGCCTCTTTTTCATAACTGGATCTGGCATTGTCTGTTTATGTATGTTAAACAACTTGTTTGTCATTGAAATGTTAATATAGCTGTAGGATCAAACATGATCTACCAAGCTACCTACAGATGTAGCTACACTAACTTTATTGTACGCATGTATATCTAATAACCGTACGATTCATATATCTCGTTTAGACTAGCATGTAACCCTCCCAATGCAGCTAACATTAGCTCAATTCAACGGATGCTATGATGTTTAACACATTACTTTCTTGCCTATTTTAGAAGGCGGAGCTCCGTCCACATGGTCGGATCCCGCCGGGTCTCCGACAGCCGAGCAGGCGGACAGCAGGACGAGGATCAGCGGGAGCAGAGGGCCGTCCATAGCGACTCCGGAGCTGAGATACCCGGGAGGAGAGGAGGCGAGGAGCGGATACGGAGCAGTGACAGTTAACACATCAGGGTCAACGTTAGCTCCGAATAGGTTTTATCTTTCCTTTACACCAATAGTTTGTTTAGAATCAGACAGTGTACATTTCTCTTTGTGGCTAAATAAGCTTTATATGTGATAGTGTACAAAAGATGGCTTTATCATTGTCATGACGATGCAGATCCATTCTCCAATAAACGGGCGCTTATACGGAAATATCACGTGATCCGAAAGTGGCTTATTTCGACCAATCACAGCCAGGCATAGTAATTCCGCAGCAGACAATTGAGGGACGTACTTCACGTAATGTTACTGCAACAACATGGTTTTATAACGCAGCGTTGACACAGGATTGGAAAATGTAAAAGTATTTGCAAAACATGATGTGTTTCATAGACAGCATCAAATAGCCCTGTAAATCTTTACAACAGTAAAATGCAGCAGTATTTTTAATCCAACATAATTTATAATAATTCACTAAGGACAATTTAAGCAACATTTGTTGTTAATATACACATTCTAATTAAGGAAAGAAATTGAATGCATAATATTGACTTCTAGTGGAACAATTTCTGTGTCTGAATACCCAAGATAATATGCAACGAAAACAGAAAATCAGGACAATAAATTGAAAAAAACAGTGGAAGTTGCTTTTATTCCATTCAACAGAGAAATTGCTGCAACATCGGAGTAAACCACTGAGCAGAAACTAACATTCACACTGAGCTGCTGAAACAATGACTGACAAAGTGGAGCAGTAAGGCTTAAGGACGCCTCAGTCACATACACACACACGCACTCATGCACACACACCACACAGACTCACTCATTCTCACTCATTCTCACTCGCACTAATTTTCCTTTACATCCGTTATCTTACACCTCTCTGTGGCTGCTTGTGCAGCAGCCTTATCAGTATTCCTCTCCCTCTAATGTGGTCAGCCAGAGACGAGGGCTCAAGGGTCACCTTCAGATCAGGTGACCTCAGTTTCCTGCCTTAGCTGCAGGGCAATTTCAGGGCTAAGAGGTGACATTACACAGAGACCTTAACCGTTCATCTCTACGGTACATCTCCAAGCGACATGAGCCCCAGCCATAACACTGTGAGGCCAGCCGTGGGCCTGAAGGGCGGGGAGATCAGGGGGGAGTTCAGGGGAGATCATGCTCTGGCCAAAGGGAAGGCGAGGAGGAATAGGACCCGGCCAAGAAGATGATGTGATTGGTCACTTGGTGGAGCGTCGGGTGGGCTCAGAGGCAGTAGGGGGAGGAGGCGGGCCACGGCGGTCCAGGTCTTCGATGTAGAACATGACGAGTTTCCTGCGCTCCTCGGGTACACACTCCAGAACGAGGTACCGCTTATCGTTCTGAAGAACTTTTTCCACATCCTTCAGGTGCTGCTCTGACTCCTGGATCAGCTTTCTCGACCTGAGGGAGGAGAGGAGGTGAAACATGGGTAAGGCACAGGATGGTCATACTATCCTCTGTGAGATTCAAGGACAACAACTGCTGTTCTGATTTAAAGGGGACCTATCATGCAAAATGCATTTTTTTATGTCTTTTATACATAAATATGTGTCCCTGGTGTGTCAGGGAACTCACGCAGCGTCAGAAAATAAAACCTTCTCTCTTTTCCTCCATACCCACATCTCTAAAAACGGGGGGTCCAATGGAGCTGATCCAGATTTGCGTCCGATATGACGTAATATCGGAAATGTGGACCCACAGCACTATCAGAAACGTTGCCATCAGAAACAATGCCTGACTGTTTTGGACGGTGTTTACATTAGCATCGCTAACACTCAGAGCTAACCTGTACTGGAGAGCATGTGTGTGAAGAAGCAGGAAATAAAAAGGAACTCACCTTGTGGTATAACCGGCAAGAGAGAAAGCCTTTGAGCTCCAAACTGTTTCAGAGATAATCCTTGATAATCCATGATATGGCGTTTCATCACGGCAGTATTTAGTTTAGACAGTAGCTGCCGGGTCCGCATGAGCTCAGCTCCCTCCTTTTTTATCAATTTTTATAGCTTTATACCCAAAATCAGCACTTTTGAAAATAAAGGGATATGAGGCATGGCTAGAATCGGTGATCTGTTTGGTATTTTGAGCAAAACACTTCATAGACATGTTTTTTATATATCTGAGACCTATGATAGGTGCACTTTAAGTTAAAGTCTCTCCTTTAGAAACAATTTCGTATAGTGAGACTTTGCTAAACTACACAATTATTTTAAATATTTGGATTGGCTAACGGTAAAAGAAAAAATGTACAGTCTATAAGTAACACAATATTTGTATCACCATCACATCCTGTGTCATCTACATGTCTGCAGCTTATCTTGACTTGCCTCTAAAGTTACTTCTCAGAGAATTTTACAATACTTACAAAAGTTCAAAAATAAAGAGAAAGGATACATTTGTTTATTAATAGAAACCACTTCTAAGGGAATGAAAACATGATGAACTATAATAAGTGGAGTTCCTAAATACTTTTATTGTACAAGACTAAAATATTCAAAGGCTTTATTTCATTTGCACAATAGCTACAGCATAGTTTTGGCAATGAAAATCTCAAGTCCCAGGCTCTTTTACAAATGTAACATAGATAGAGTTCTCTTCTGTCATTGTCTTTCAAACTATGCTGACATTGAGGAAATAGAAGTTGTAATATTTGAAATCATCTTTTGGGGCCAAAAACTATTTCAAATGTAGACAATACATTTGATGTAATACATGTCCAACTACATATTTGTAATATTCTTAGAGACACTGTTTTCATTTTTGCACATCTAGTATGTAAGAGAAAGTGTACTGACCTGTATGTGATGAACTTCGTCTCCTTCAGCAGAGTTCTGAAGTCAGCTTTGGCTGTGATGTACTTGTCTTTGATGTAGTCTTCAAACTCCCGCTGTCTCTTCTGCAAACACAGATTAAACACATCAGACATCAAAACTCACATAAATCACACCATTACAAGTTTAGGACATAAATATCAACCTTTCTGTTGATCAATTCAGAGCTGGGGTTTGGATTTGATGAACAATGACAGGAAGAGTTTGATATTTTCTACTTTCTTATCGTGCAGTGTGTCTTCACCTGTCACTAGATTCAAAACACTCCAGTATATTTTGTAATTGTTGTCAAGTGACTGTTATATTTCCATTTAAGAATTCAAGAAGCATAGTAATGTAAGTCTTACTCTGTCACTGGAGGAGAATTTAATACAGCGAGGGTCCTCCTTGATAATCTTCTTCACCTCCTTCCATGTGGTTGTCAGTGTGATCTACAACACAAACAAATTAATGATATATTACATATAATAACAATATACATTTTTTTCACTGGTAATATTTGCTCATTAAAGAAGACAAGTTTGATTGCTGTTGGCACCTTTTTACTCCTCACCATGCTGGTCTCATCTAGTAGCTGCCGGAAATGTTCTTTCTTTTTCTTGGCCAGTGCTTCTACGTGTTCGTTAAACAGCTTCTCCTTCTCCTCTCGCTCCAGCAGTGACGCCGACTCCCAGCGATGGTCTTTCCGCAGATTCCGACGTGTGTCTGACCATGCTGCATCTGAAGAGCGTACCTTAAGAAGGATTACAAAAACACTATTAAGGCAAGTCCTAAAGTAAATACTTGTTGGCTTAAGTTTTATACTGAATTTGAAACAAAGGGGGTATTGTGCTCCTGCAAACAGACTTTAGAAAGTGATCTTAAAGATTCTATATCTTCGGCCAATCTATTTTTCTTAGAAGATCACGATGCACATAGATTAGTAATTACAAACAATTATCATTTGATTAATATATTCTAAACACATTAAAGCCACTTTCATGAGGAAATAAAAAAAGCTGCAGGGCCTCTCACCATATCAGACATGAGCGCTTTGAAATGCTGGATGGCCTCCTCCCTCTTGTGCTGCTCCCTCTCCCGGTCGATCTCTTTGGTCTGCTCTGAGCGAGCTTTCTGCACCTCCCGCTCCCTCTCTCTGAGGCTGACCTCGATACGAGCCTGCCGCTCCAACTCTCGCTCTTTATCCACGTCCACGCACTGTGGAGGAGAAACACGTGTCAGATCTGTTTGTCAGGTGATGTCGACAATGAGAACTATGCCTCGAAATAGAGCTGTAGACCGGGTTCATACACTTTTTCACCAATGATTTTCAATGACTTCTCCGTGACCTTTACCTAATTTTCCATGACCAAAAAAATAAAGACTCTTTCTCAGCGGTACCACTGAAAATGGTTTATTATAACACGGAACAGGAAAATAAGGTCTGCATATGAAACATGTTGTAAAACAAATAACTTACAGTATTTATTATCATTATAGTATTACTATTTTGGAGATTAGATAAAATATAAATTATATTTGATTTCCAAAACTTCCATAACTTTTCCAGGGCCTGGAATTAGCATTTTGAAATGTCCATGACTTTTCCAGGTTTTTAATGACCGTATGAACCCTGTGGAGACTACCTGTCAATCACACGTACTTGGTGTAGCAGTTATTTTCCACACAGAAAAGCCATGCTCCTACCTTGGCTTGTTTGTCCATGTACTGTTTGAACAGTTCTTCTCGGAGTGCAGAGCTCTCCACACCCTTGTATCGTGGATCAGTTTCGAGCCTCTCTTTTAATTTGCTCCACCGCTGGCCTCCCTCTATGTGCTGCTCACTTAGGAGATCGAAGAAGTCTAGCTTCACCTGCGAGCACACACAAACACACAAGAAATTAGGAATCTCTCAGACAACAAATGATCAGCAGGAGGGCAGAGCCCCTGCAGATAGACCTGTAGGTTTTATGTTTGTAATCAATTGACCCCTTTCACCTTAAAGAATGATTAATATGACACTGATATAAATGTGAGCGAGTGATACCTTCTCTCCTCTGGACTTGGAGTCCTCTTTCTCTCTCTTCCTCAGAGCAGTGATGAACTCGACGAAGATGGCCTCCCTGTCCTTCATCTTCTCTATGGTCTTAAACCGCGGGTCCCGGCCGTGCTTTACTGCAAATTCACTAAACGTTGTTCTGTAAAGATAGGAAAATCAAATAAATCAGTGTCAACTTGTGTGAACAGTTTAAATAACAGTTTAAATAATTTCTTTAAATAATCTCTTCTCAACAAAATATTAAATGATTACTAACTACTAATAATATATCAGGATGTGAAATATTGCTGGTATTCACCAAAACAGCGGAAATGGTTTAACTACTGTTTAAAAGTCACATATATGTGGTACTTTTTACTTGTGCTTATAAACAGAAACACACAAATCTGAACACTTATTCTTACAAAATAGTAATGTTGCAATAAGGTTGAAAGTAACTTATCAATACTTACTTTAAAAATACAAAAATACCTTGGTGTGAACTTTGCCTCCTCCATCATCCTCCTGAACTCGTCTTTGGCCTGCATCAGCTTGTTCTTCTTCTCCTTCCTCTCCTCCTCTGCTCGCGTCTTCACATACTGATCAAACACCTGAA